TACCTTCGTATGGAAAAACACGTTTCACCAAAATCAAAATAGCTAAGCGATGTACTGGGAAATATTCGAGAATCAAAAACTTTCACATTGTACGTGTTTATTTTTCAACCACATTGATGGAGAATAGAAACATCAAAACCCACGATAAATCGGAATTTTATGAGAGAGACAATAATCATTAAAAAAATGACTTTGTATCGATATTTACCCCCACCTAAGTCGCTTGCATAATTTATGAGAAATCGTCACACCACGCATTTTGTGTGGATTCCAAGTACGAAGCCCATCAACAGCCCGAGTTACTCATGTTGTGTAATGAAAAAAATATTTAAAGGAGTCACCTCTCAGTTAACATTTTCATTAACATGTGCAAAAATACTCTAATGTACTATATCCATAATTGTCTTTGTAAATATTTGGCGTTAATCTAATTCCATATCACTGCGTATTGTTAGTTGAAATGCTTGCGATATAGTACACAGTCGAGCTAGCGTTATACATTTATCTGAGACTGGCCGTGGATGATGCCAGTAAACGGTGAGTACAATTTTGCTCACCGGGTTCGAATCGGATAAAGGAATCCTTGTTATAATCATAACTATAAGAATAAGTAAACCTATAAACAAAATCTATTTCTAGTGGGGAAACCAAAAAAAAAAAAAAAAACGTTTTCAACTTATTTCGGTGGTGGAAAACGGTTTGGAACATACTGTGACAAAATAAGTAAAAACATATAAATTTAATTTGTTAAACAGCCCGAGGAATACATTTTCCGCAAATTTTTGTGGGAAGTAGTGCACGATTCCATATGGATGCTGTCGCCCTTGTCACCTAGGTTACTCGGAAATGTTTGTTTCTGAGTCTTCTGTATCTTTTCAATACTTGGTACATTCTCGGGGAAACTCATTCATTCTACTAACACAACACGACATGTTCAGTTCGATGGTCGTATACTGGCAGAGCTCGGTCGCTCGCTCGATGGCAGAGCCATCGCTCAGCCAACGCAAACTCGTTCTTTTTATTCAACTCCCTACGAAAACACATTTCAAAGACTTCGGCATAAACACCGCCCTCTAAAGTTTCGCTCACATGGCATTGACTTGCACTAACATTTAACCACAGTCCCTCACTGTGACCAATCATAGACATCTCCGTGCCACCTCTGGGGTTGTCAATTTGTATGAACTATGGGCTTGTTATTGAAGTAAAACCGTAAAACACTTTGGCTACTTATATCTACACTATTTTTGGATTTCAAGTAACCATACACATGAAAAAGGAGATGTTGAATTACTGACAACGAGTTACGAATATGACTAAGACAATAATTTAGAAACCACGCCCACTTTTACAAAACCACACACAAATTATACCTCGATGTTCAATTCAATTCAATTCAACCGAACTTCGAGTTAAAGGGCAACACATATTTTTGTTTGTTGAACGTCCACATTTAGTAAGCCGAAATAACAGTTAACCGAATATCGATTCTTAGGCAACCTAGATTTGTGTTGTTACTGTGACTGCTAATTAAAGTTCGAGCACAGGGAGGTGGACAAACTTATGTATTTTAATAAATTATTAAATAATAAAATGTTATATCACTTTTCTTCCTGGTATCGATTTCAAGTAATCACTGATCTTTTTTTATATCACTCTTCCCTTTATCACAATCTTTGTTACAGCTTTCTACCTACTAGGTCTAGTTGAAACTTGTGGTGGGGTGGGGGTCGTAATACTGGAATGATGACAGAGGGTGTCGTGACAGACTCAACTACCGGGGTATACAGTAAAATACGGTTGAGCATATGTACTGTATTGTATTTTCGCACAGCATATATAAGAAAATGACAGACTGGTATGGTAAAGAAGCAGAAAGGAAATAATACAGAGTTGCCTTTATATAGTCTTGATGGGAACTTGTCGAATAACCCGCTCTTAGCGCTCATTGGCCAAGAGATTTATACTTGACATTGAATCAAGGATAAATATTTCTCTCCCTGGGTTTGCTAATTTACGCAGCAATGCTACAGCTGTGTCTGTTTGCCATTGAAATACACACAAATGTAACGATGAATGTAAACAAAAGTATAGTTTCAACGATGAGACAGTGGTGGAGTGAATATTCAGGTAAAACAGCAACATAAATTTTACCAACGCAAAAAAGCTCAAAACAAAACAGGGTTGGAAGGGAGATTCCAAAAGTTTAAAACACACATGCAAAACTCACTTCTTTTACACTCAGCATTTCAAGAAAAATACTAAAAAACAAACAAAAACCACCGTATCTGAACACGGTAATCCATGTGCGTGTAGAAGTTCTATTTTAAATTTGAGGTTTATTTTTTCAGAGCACAGTCCCTATAGAGGGACTGTGTCCAGAGCTATGTTATTCTGGTTACATTTTGTGATGAGAAGTAAGACCTTACAACGAGTATATTGGCGTAGACACCCGACTGCTACTAAAAACTAGGAGATAGTTGGAGATGTATAGTTTTTACGAGTAATGAAATCCGCCACCACCCACCATCACTCGGTACAATTTAGTAGCACATGACAATACCGATGAGGGCGCCACACGGAGCAGAGTAATGATGTACAGTAACAACGCATTCGTGAGTTTCAGATTTCAGAAGAACATTGTCACCAAATTTATTGATTTATTGTCGACAAAAGATGTAAATATTATTCAATGTTTAGCAGCTTATATATATATATATTATGAGGTTATTACGAGGATACCGAAAAGTACTAGTATACAAGAAGACAGTACAGGAGTAGTACTGACCAACGTGCAGTGGAGGTCGATGCGACAGTGTACTGTCTAGTGCATACTTTTCAGTATCCTCGTAACATTTATTATTATCCATCTTCAAGTTTTCCTCTCAATGATACATCATGGGAATGCCGAAATACAAAAAGTTTAGAGAAGATTGAGTGAACTTCTTTGTATGGGGTCCGGTCAAACTCCGGCTGCCATGTTTGTTTGTATTATTAGAGGACGTTACGCACATAGTCGTTCCATATTTGGAATTCGCATTTCCTAATATGGTAGGATTAAATTACCCAGTGCAATACCGCTAATTACGGCACGCTGTAACTTGTCACCCAGGTTAGGTAACAGATGTATAATAAATATATAATATGCATATGTGTGTGGATATGTATTTACATAGTCAAAACTATTTAGATCGGCATGAGCATCTGCGCTATGACTATGTATCAGACTCAGTCTGACTGGATACACTGAGGTGATACAGAAATATCAAAATAACTCGAATTTTTATTTGAGTATAACACAGTTATCCGCATAGATTACCATGTAATTTTTTTAATTTCTTATCAAAACTTTGGGCCTAAACAAGATAAATTTAGAATTAGTTTATAACTAAAGACAACATCAGTACATTTATTGGTAAATGGGACACCACTCTGTCAGCATACAGTATTTATATATCATTCACACCCATGATCTACTGTAATTTGTACAACTATTTCACCAATACCTCAGTCCGGGTTGTTTCATTTGAATGTAAACGATTCAATGAAAGTAGATAAAAACAAATGTAAACTTTGTGTAAAGTTCAACACTGAGGGCATACATTAACCAATAAAATTTAGATTGTATGCATATGCAACCACAAATTTGGATTCTTTATATTTTTTTTATGCTTCAAACCCCAAAGGCAACTTAAGAAGCTTCAAGTCAGATTGAAAATTAAAACTTAAGGGTTCTTCATTCTTTTTAAGAAATATATCAAATATACAAACAAAATTGAGATGTCACCAATAAATTTTGAATTCCTGTTTAAAAACAGCAACAACTTGTATTGTATCCTTGTGTTGGTTTCCATAGCGATGAAAGAATTTTAAAATATGTAGAATTTTGCAGGAACTGAAAATGTTGAATACCATTATTGATGCAAATTTTCAGTTCCAATGAGGTAATTCTTGACTAGTATATTATTCAACACAAATGTGTTCTCCAAAATGCATTGTACATAAGCTCAGGAAATGCAAAATCTAGCATTTGGTTGAAACTTACAAAACCCAGATTTTACACTGAAAATGTGTGTATTGAACATGAATTGACAAGTCCTTAGTGAGTCCTATTTAAAGATTCAATTTTAGGTACTGTGATGACACTGTTTGGAATCTGGGAATAACTGTTTCAGGTTTTTCTGAGTCAAAACCGTTTTACATTTATAAATGAAAGAAAGGTTGTCAACAGATTCATGGGACTTTTCTTGATATTTTCCTCTTTAAGATGTTTCCATTAGATTTCAAATTGTGTCTACACTATGAGACAGCTTTATTTGGGTGTTATGACTTTATGTGAAATATTTGATTTTTTGAATTTTGAAAAATAATCAACAATTTGCCAGGATTCTTGTTACTGTGGGCCACATATGTTGGAAAACTATTAAAAATGATACAACGTACATTCAAAATGTAAACTAAAATGATCAGCAACATTCCGATGATGTTAAGGTAGTTTGCTTCCATTGAAAACAATATTCAAAATTTGTTTGAAATCCAGCAAGAGGTGTTGGGTTACTGTAATGTTCAAAATTCTGAAATGAAATAAGGTTTTCACAAAACAACGCTTAAAATGCGTTTATCCAATAGTTCACAATTGGTTCCTATGGCAGAAACAATCACCACAGTAATTACCAAGCTAAACCTTAGTACCTAGGTAATGTCTTGTTTTTGTACTGGTTGTCTGTGGCATACATGTTCACATACGATTGGTATATTGTGCAGGTGTGCTGATGCAATAACCACTGCTCTTTAATTATTAAATATTTCTGAGTCTTTGGAAACATTTAGACCATCAAAATATTTCGCATAATAGTGCCAAAACTTCCATAATACAGTATTATTTCATCTCTGACTGCAACTTGAATAACACTAGTTTACACATGGTGGCTGACATTTCCAGTGTGACGTGAAGCCAGTTGTTGACAATGTTAAAACTGTGAAAATACACACACAAAGTCACTTCAATCAATTTATTCTTTTGTTTAAAATATTTGATAAATGTTACATATGGTGCACCTTATGAATGATAAAGACTATTTAAAGAAATGCATGACACTTCTTCAGTCCTCCACAAATCATAGACGTTATTTTTTTTTAGAAGCTCACACTTATACTTAAAGAATTAAAGTCAAACCTGATTGATGTCTGTACTGAAAACACTACCACTGCTGGGGATACTAGTAAAAACACGGCAGCTAGAAAAATATACAAATAGCTACTAACGTTATGTAAATTTATAGGGAGCTGTTCCCAAGTTTTAGCACAAGATTTTCTGAACAAAGAAACAGACCCACAGATGACTTTATTGTTGATGTACAGGTAATACAGTTGGCTAGATTAAAATGCAGTCTGGAAGGCACATATATTGCTGGGCTAGAATATATCAAGCTCTACAAGACAAACTGCACACAGGACGGATTTACTGAATTGCAACTGTTTTATCGTTCTATAACAGACACATGCAAATGATGTGACCCCCCTCCTTCCTCTAATCAACTGTCTTCAGTGATACCTTACATAAAATAGTCTGTGCTCCCTCCCTAATAATAATAGAACATTCCAAAATGTCTGTTTAAGTGTCTTTATTTTATTTCATGTCTTTTTAAGCAACAAGTTTTTGCCTTGCAGAATATAGTTCTCTATCAGTTTTGAATGTTGCAAGATTCTGGGTGGTTTGGGTGACGGGTCCTGTCGTCAATGCCTGGCGAACTTGCATAGATTTCTTGTCGAGATCCAAAGAGTTTTTCTTAGTTTCCAAGTCTTGGTTGATGCGATAAAGCTGTTTCTCATTGGCATCACGAGCATTACTACAAAGTAAAGACAAAATATTTGTAATTATAACACCAAACTAATAAATGAAAAAAACCAGCTGCAAGTGAATTCATAAATCTAACGTACTAACAGTAAAACGGTTAAAGCAAGAGGTTCGTCACCTGCACAGGCGCGGGAATTGAGTCCCAAGCGATGATAACATCACATGTTAAAACGCAAAGGCTCATGGGTAGACGCTTGTTTGTAAACAAATGACACGCTATGGCCATCTGGCGCATGCGGAGGTGACGACTCCCCCGATTTAACAAAATTATGCATCATAGAGCTACCCATAATATACAGTCACAGGGGGGTTTAATCGGGTTCATACAAATCCTGTAAATTCAGATGTTTCTTTAATTGTGCTTTTTTGTCACAATTTATTTTCTTGTTTATTTTAGATTTTATAAGGAGCTGAAATATCACCTGCTGACTTTTATTTTCCATGGAAGCTTTCAACAGATGATGTATTAACCTTTTCACCACTAGTTCCATCTTTTCATCACAAAATATTGTAAAATACTTTATTTTCGCTATTTTCAGTGAAAGTAAAATCCAGCGAATATACCTTTTTCCTATATTTTACATTGAACTCGTCAAAAATTAGTGAAAATAAATTCCATACAAAAGCTAACCCAAACGATCTTTTCATTGAAAATAAATTCTAGCTAAAATAAAGTATTTTACAGTAGTCTCGTTTATAGTCTGCACTTTCCTTCAAAAGATTGGGACAAAAATAGCCCAATTTTTTTGAGTAAAAACTGAAAATTGACTCAAATTTTGTCTGTTGACTCCAAAATTAGGGTTAATTTCCAGAAATATTGAAGAAAAAAAAAAAAAAATCAGAACAATTTGGGTGAGAATGTCTGGTGTGATAAGGTTGAAGTTGTTAGGTGCTCAAAATGATACTCTCTGGAAATTACTTTGACTTAGTAATACTAAGTTTAGTTTACCACTAAAGTTTTGACATATTTTTGAAAGTAGGCTGTTGAGGTCTGAAAGTAAAACCACACCATTCCCATTGCATACTTACTGTGCTTCCTGAAGTTTAGCTTTCAATTCTTTTATACTGTTCTGAATTTCCTGCACTTCATTTACCAGACCATACTGAGCATTGTCTCTGCACAGTTCAACGTTAGGTCTGTATGTACGGTTCTCAAGGCGAGTCATTGCCAGTTTCAATGGGTTGTCTTTGGCTTTAATTGCTGCCTCCAAGTCACGGATATCCTTCTCCATGTCAGCAATCTCTTCTTCAGTCTGAACGGAATAAAAAATGTAATTATTTGTTACACAGCTCAACATGCAAAGAGCTCAATTATTAGCAGCCATCATCCTATAGGAATCATCTACTTTCTGTGATGAGAAGCCAGGAATATTCAATGCGCACTGACAACGGTAATAGCACACTAGATAGAAAGTATGTTATTGTCCTCATCCAATAGAACACCAATCTCCCATTAACTAAAACCACATGTTTGGTAGTTTGGCAGAATGTATGTATTTATACTGCTGCTGTCTTGTGGTCAAAATCACAATCTCTCTGATGCGAGGCGAACATTCTAACAACTGCCCAAGTATGAAGCTGAGACGTTGCAATTATATCAAGAAAAAACGAGAAAATACTCACATTTTTCTTTTGCCACTCATCCTCATCCTTAGCTCTCTCCATATCATGTATCCTCTTCCTGAATGCATAGTCCAGTGCTTGTCTCTGTGCATCCAAGTCATTATTTGTTTGCGCAATGGTTGCTTTAACAGCCTCACGTAGTCTTTGCGAAGCCTTCATTTCGGCAACAGCACGGTCTCTGTTGTACCGACTGTAGTCTTCCCATGTTTGTGGTGTGGTGCTCCTGTGATGAAATACAGAATTTTATATATAGTGAGTTTTCAGGATGGTTGAGAATCAGTGGGGTCAACCATAAAATATCAAAACATTGCTGGAATTAATTTTCTCTTTAAGACATTTTGGCTGTAGTTTATAAAGTTTATTTTCACTGATTTTTGATTAGTTGAATGTAAAATGTAGGAAAAAATGTATTTTCACTGATTCAGCCCTACAGTGAAAACAGTTAAAATAAATTCCAAGTGAAAATAAAGTATCTTATTGTAATACAGTAAACTACAAAACTCACCCTTTTGGTGTACGTGTTGGGTCGGGCTGGAAACATATATCCGGAGAATCAATGGTCAAATCACGGCAGTAAGTATCAATGCCTTTGGCTTCAAACTTATCTCGGAGATCAGCGGCTAATTGTTGACGAGCTTCTTGGAGAAGGCACAACTGCTCAAAGGATTCAGAGACTTTCTGTTGCAAAGCTTTCTTAGCACCTTCAATAACCTCAACTTCCTACAAGAGAAAACATAATAAAGAATAAAAAATAAAGTAGTAGACATTTTGTGACAATGGTAAATATCAGTAAACCTATTCTGTTCAAAATGCATGTAAAAAGTCCAATAGACTAATCAGTATTGTGGCCGGTAGATTGTCTTTATGGGCTCAAAAACCAATAAATAATAGAAGCTTTTGACATTTAATAAATTAATGGACTTCATTTACATGAAATTGTTTTTAATCAATGACACATACCTTATGAAGTTCTGCATCTGGATCATCATCAACAACATCGATACTTTTTCTACCGTCCCTAAGAGTAAGGCACTCAATAGCAACGTCTAGGGGGAGGGCTTTCGCTTCAAGAGCACGCTCAGCATTATCTTTCTCATCTTGCAACCTCTCAATTTCTTCATCAGTGTCTTTAAGAGTTTTCTCCAAAATTTGCCTCCACTGCTCGATGTCGTCAATCCTGTTGTCAAGACGGGTTGTGTTGTCGTGAGTACCCCACCATGTTTTGTTATCGGTGACGTTTCTCAGTTGACGCCCCTCTTGACGGATCTGATGCGATGAGTCGCGCTGGCGCTCTGAATTTGTTGCTAAGATGTAGTTTGATGTATGCCAATCTGATGGGGCATAATGGGTGGCGGTCTTGTAGTTAATGTCTGTTTGTGTGGACATTTTGAATTTTTATAACCTGTTGAAAAATTAGTGGCATATCAGTAAATTAATGTATTGTATGTTATGTAGACAGCATACATCCTAATATGTACCCAGCCGTTAGAAATATAGTGGTCTTTACAAATTAAATTTACAGAACATAATTCCCATCAGGGATGTTATTAATTTAGCAGTGACAGTTAATACGTAAATTCAAAGTTCTAAAATATATAACATGACATTAATATTAAATTTTTAATAAATATAGTGGGAGCAGTTGAAATGGTAGCCAGTGTGAGTAGATTGCTCGCATGTACGTACAATCACAGAAAATTTAAACATTTCGTTGCCACGACCACACTTTGTTTATAATATTTCCAAAGCGAAGGAAGCCATTTTGGAAAGAAAACGTTATGCCTCGTCCACCGGTTTTGCGAATTGCAGTACAAATTCCAGCATGCCGCTTCAGATATACTTGCTAATATTATTAAAATGTCGGTAACCAAAGCAGTAATATTTTAAATGGCTAATAAATGTAAACAATAGAATAATGAAGTTGTTTTGCTGTCTGACAGACTTTGTATACACAGTGTACGAGTGGCCCTGAGCAGGTCGACAAGCACATGATTTTGGAAACAGAGACCGGATCAGAAAAATACACCGAAAAAGTGCAATACAATCAGGATCGATGCAAACGATTGTTGATATTAAATGTAAGGTTGAGTATAGCTCCATCAAAAAGGGCGAAAATATACGGAAACAAGGGGAGGACAGCACAACTTACCTAACCGACTCCGTGCACAGAATGTATGGAACTGTTTGCTTCGAAGCTAGCCTATAAACTCCGCGTTGCTAGGCTTCGATCCGTTCGAAGATTCTTTTCTTCTATTGGCCAATCTATTTTACGCGTTAGACGTAAACCAATCAGATACTTCGTTTCATTGCTAACGTTGCGTTCTTATTTGTGTATTTCCATAGATACCGTCGCGACAGGCAATGAATAAATTATGTAAATGTTCAACTGTGATGAATATTCAACAACCAAAGAAAGATGGCGCTGCTTAAAACTTTTTGCAGGAGATTCGGATGGTGTGACGAATTTCTATTTCTTTTGATACTTGTTCACTTCTGTGTGATACATGCAGAGGTTAGTGATTTTACTGATCGTAAGCAAGAACAAGAATGATACAAACAAATAAATAACAACTAGCATTGCTATTGTACCAGCCCAATTAATTATTTTGCCCTGATTTTGAATGAATGAAAAATAGCCGAGGTCAGTTTTGTAACCTAGTGGTGGTCTGGTCTAGTATAGATTTCGCACACTCGTTTACCCCTT